AGTTTAAAAATAAATATTGGACAACAATCGACAATTTTCAACTTTTAAAATTTGTACGAATCTAAAGGAACGAAATAATTTATGCATAATAAAATGAAAGTAAAAATGTTTGTTCTTTTTATTGGTTGATGAGATTTTGATTTAATAAAATCTTTCCACATCAACCATTGACAAATAAATTTATAAGTGGTGATGTAAATTTTTTAGGCCATCTTCTATCCTGTGTATTACTCACATTCATATATTATTTTGCAGCTTAGAGCTTATAAGACTACTTATTTTTAACCCCCGTTTGACCCCCATTACCTGAAAATGAAAATTTGGGGAATAATTTTTTTTAGAAAAATGAGTGGTTGAAAAAGAAAAGTTTTCGATTTACGTGTAATATTATTTTATGGAAGATTGTGTAATTAAAAATATGAGAGAAAAAAATAAAATGTAATATAATTAAATTTAATGGGGATCAAACGGGGCTTAAATTACTTATGAACAAAAGGGGTCGATGTGCAAAATAAATTCTACTCGGTTTCAAACTTTTCTACAATTTCGGCTTCTTTCTGTGCATGTGACCCTTTCTCAGTTTTCTGCTTTCCACTGCAACTTTCTACTCTCTTTTCTTCTTTTATTCTCTTTCTACAAACCCATAGCTTACGCAGAACTTCGTGATTCCCGTTGATTCTAAGGAGATTCATTTCGTGGTCCGTTTCTTTTTTCAACCCAAAGAATAATATGTGAGTGCCGGTCTTTCTTATTATAATTTGTCTTTGTTTGTCCTTTTATCATAATTTCTCTCTGTTTGTCCGTGCAGAAAGCTCTAGCTTGAACTTGTTTGTTTCTTCCCTGCTTTTCCTGTTTTTATAGTTGGAAGTATTCGAAGTGGGAAAAAAAGGAAAATAGTCTGCTTATGGAAATTTGATTAGGCAAAAGTACTAACCAATATTTTGAAGAATTTCTTGTTCTGTTAATTTTTTTGCAATAGTTATTTTTCAATTTTTTTTTAATGTTACTTCGATTATTTGATATTAGTTCCGGTTTTTCCCCATATCGATGTTTATTTTTTATTTTTTCAAACTTTCTCCTTTAATGATTGTTTATTTTTTTTACCTTTTTTTTCGCAATATTCTATAGTTTATAACCAGTAAATGGAGAGGGATATCGAATTTTGATATGCAAAATAAGCAAGAAATTGATTATAGCAACAGTTTGATGCATAGTTGCTTTGTGGGAATATATTTCAACAGATATTTTGGGGACCAACTGAAAAGGCAAATAAAAAGTGAAAAAAAATGGAATCTTAGGAAGGAGAAAATGTTTTTTATAAACAAGGTGCCACACATCTTTATATGGTTTTAAGCTATTTAAGCCTTAGATAAATTTGCTTAACTTAGAGAAGATTGTCGCTACATCTTACCAAAGTTATTTTCGTCTTAATTTTTATCCCTGCTTGAAACTATCCGATTCGGGCACAAAGCTAATTCTATTTACTTGAGCTTTTTTGCAAATAAATTTTACTAGTTTTGCAGCTACGCTTTTTGTACTATTTTTCTCTCACTTGAAAATCAAGAGCATTTGTTTGGACCTTTCCTTAGAGATCATTGTTTTGCATTTTTGTAGAGGCTGAAATGGTAGCAGAATCATGGTTTCGCAGTCTGTGGAGAACTTCAAAGAATCATGGTTTTGATTCCAGAAATGCACGTATTGGGGTTTTGGCTTTTGAAGCAGCAAGCTTGATGTCTAAGCTGCTTCACCTATGGCAGTTGCTTACTGATAAGCAAGTTGCTAAACTCAGGGAGGAGATAACGAATTCAGTGGGAATTAGAAAGCTTGTGTCGGAGGATGATGATCGCATTGTGAGGTTGATATGTATAGAGATTATGGAGAACTTAGGAAAAGTGGCACGAGCTGTGGGGAGGCTGTCCAAGCAATGTAGCGATCCTCTGTTAAGGAGTTTTGAGCAAGCCTATGATGATTTGATAAAGATTGGTGCTGACACATATGGTTGGCAATTCACGTGGAATAAGATGGACAAGAAAGCTAAAAAGATGGAGCGATTGATCGCCAAGAATGCAAATTTATATCAAGAAATGGACACACTTGCGGATCTTGAGCAGACTTTGACGAGAATGAAGGGTAACGATGACACGGATGGCATTACTTTTGTTGAATATGAAAAGAAGGTTGCCTGGAAGAAGCTGGAAGTGAAGCATCTAAAGGAGAATTCTCTTTGGAATCGGAGTTATGATTACACAATTCATCTTTTAGCTAGATCTGTATTTACTATATATGGTAGGCTTGGACATGTTTTTGGAATTAATCACATGGCATTCGTGGGGGTCACAGATTCTGGAGTTTCAGATTCTAATTATAGTCGTCACAGCCAATCAATTCTCTTCACGCGATCATCAGTTCACCCTTCCGAAAATAGCATCCCTAGGCATTCATCGGGTTCATTAGGAAACACGATTTCTATGTCTGGTCCAATCTCAAGAGCAAACAATGTTAGCTATTTTCACTCGGGCCCTCTTGGAAATTCAATTACAGCATCAGGCCCCATCTCTGGAAAACGTGGTGCTGGTAGCTTTTATTCTGGTCCTCTTGTTAGGTCAACAGAAAAATCTGCCTCACTGCCTAAAGCAACCAAAAGCTCAAGATTTTGGCAGTTCGTGATAAATCTTCGAATTCAAAACAGAAAATCCCATATTTAAAACCAAATAGATTAACTGCATCAGGACCTCTAAGTGAATGCATGATGAGTGGCGTTGATGTTAAGGTTCCTGACGTGACTAAGGATGTCAGTACAGAACTACATTCTCATGGAAACTCCACTCAAAACCAGCTGTTGAATGCCCTTCCGGAATCCCTTGGAGCAGCTGCCTTAGCACTGCACTACGCAAATATTATCGTTGTAATTGAGAAATTGGTGGCATCTCCTCACTTGATTGGTAATGAAGCAAGAAGTGACCTTTACAACATGTTGCCTGCTAGCATCAGGGCGGGTCTCAGGGTTAGACTAAAGCCATGTACTAAAAGTCTGTCTTTGTCTTTTTATGATACAGCTCGTGCTGGAGATTGGAATCAGGCGATGTCGGATATACTAGATTGGTTAGCTCCACTTGCTCATAACATGATAAAATGGCAGTCGGAACGGGGCTTTGAGCACCAGAACTTAGCTGCTCGAACAAATGTGCTTCTTGTACAAACCCTCTACTTTGCAAATCAGGAAAAGACAGAAGAATCGATTATTGAGCTACTTGTTGGTCTCAACTATGTGTGGAGATTCAGTAGAGAAGTAAATGCCAATTTACTGGTGGATGATCCCACTGGTTGAAAATTTGACAAATTTGTTGGTGGGTAGTAGCATTCATTTTCTCGTGTTCAGTTCAGCAGAGGAGCTTTCTTTCTTTATGAAGTAGATTCCTAATCAATTCCCATTCAGGGTCATATGAGAAGGGATCAATCATCTGCCTTGTTCACGAGGCTTCTGTACATACAGAAACAAATAGCGATTGATTATTTGGTGGTGGATATCTGATACCTTTTTGTTGGGATTCTTGTATGCACAAAGCATTGGGATCAAAACTTCGATTTATGTCTGTTGGTGACAAGCTTCTCTCTTTGGCCATGTATTGGTTTTAATGGTTGTGATTTGCTATCCTCACTATGTTTAAGCAGTTATTCTACAGGTGTGTTGTATATGAAGTATTGTATACAAGGCACCATATCAAGGTTTTTCCTCCATGAAGCACACACATTGGAATTTGGATGCTTCCTGTTCCAGCTTGCTCTTTCGAGTTTGATATGTTGGTGAGCGTTATATTGTCGTCCGGTGATATGAATGTTTCCCCTACTTCTAATTACCAAGTAATTTATAATCCAAATATCTATATTGGTCTTTGGAATTTACTATAGGGCTAAACTTTTTGTAGCATGTTGCTTGCTTATGCTTAATCTGTTTCGTCATGGATGCTACATATTAGTATCATTTGTTGAACAAGAATAGGTAATGCTGTTAATTTTGTTACTTTTCTGAAGGTTTTGATTGTCAATTGTAAATCCTTGTGCTTGCAAAAGATCTATCCGGGTGGAGAATTTGTAATGGCATGTTTGGGAAGGTCAAAGGTGGCTTAAAGAGTACATCTTGACGTCTCTTTGTTAAGTATTTTTCCTTTATGGAATTTACTAAACTCGTAGACCAATTTCTTGGTCGTTCCTAGCATTTGAATCTTGAATTTTTGCTCTTGCCACCGAAGAAATCGAACTTGAGTGTTTTATTATGTTTTCTTTCTTCATGGGATTATGCAGAATGAGAAAAACCACCTCAATAAACGTATGATTCAGAGTAACGATTGTCCTTCCTCTTGATTAATCATGTTGATGGTCAGGATCTCGACCATTTGAAAATATTTACAGGGTTAGAAACGGTGTCGAGACACGTCAACCATGGCTATTGATAGCTGTTGTCCAATGTGGTTCGAATTCTAAGGTTGGCTTTGACTCGAGAATGCACATAAGAATTCGTCAACTCATTGTTATAGACCATACTTCGTTTTTTAAGCGTAGTTTACGATTACAATACTTTATCATGATATCCGTAATTTCAAATTGAGTTACAAGTCGAACTTTACAATGAGCATGCTTGGTAAAAATAGGCGCTAGCTTATAAGCTAGATAAGTTGGAAATGGAAATTAAGCTGTGGGATTCTTACCTTCTGAATTTTGGATAACACAATGTGACTTTTCAACCTCTAGTTAGCATTTTTCTAAAAATACATGCTGAACATATATTTCCCAAATTTATGTTTATCTAGAAAAATTTCAAAGGCATATTTGACTAAATCTAAAATAAGAACAAGTTTATTTAAAAATGACGACTCATGTTTGTGAAGATGTTGAATTTCTCGGGAGATAAAAGTATCAAACCGCATTTGAATTTGACTATGCAAATAGTTTTTTATTTGAATACTAATGTAATAATTCATTTTCTTGAAAATTATTACACAATCCAAGAATTCGGATCATCCCAACCCAGCTGCAAAGAAAGAATCGCAGTCGGTTGGGCTCCACGTCATATTGTTCCCAATTTCTCATCACCTGTCTTAATCACGTTTTTCACCGAACCCGCAAAACAGAAATTCTTTTCCAAAATCTCCTTCATCACAATACACACAAATCGAAATTCATTATCAACAATAACCCAAAAAACCCCAAAATCTCTCTGTTGAGTCGCCGCGAAAATGGACATACCGAGAAGTCGCTCAATGAGATCAACCTCGCTTCGTGATACCGACTCCCGACTCACTGAGTCGGAAAGGATCGAGGGTGCCGGTAGCTGGGACGCCATTGAATGGACCAAGATTGATGTGAATTACTGAATTCCCTCTTTTATATAGGGTTATAGTCGCACACAGATACAATTGGTAGTGTTGAAGATCGAATTTACTTGAAAAATGTATTAATTTGAATATGTTAAATTTCCTTGAATTCGCAGCCGGTATCAAGGTCTGTGCCACAAGGACTACAGCACTTCTTACTGGAAGCCGAGGAAGTCATTGTGGAGGTAAATGGTTAGAGATGTGTATACATGCATTTGTTTTTACTTGTACGTTTATTTGTGCATTTTCAAGAATTATTGTTGATAAGTTCTTGGATAGTTATGGGGCACTCCTGAAATGATGGCGTAGCTGTTTTATGTGGGAAAAATAAATTCAAAACTTGTGTGAAAATTGAATGTTAAAAGTAAGGGACTTTCTTTCTTGAATTTGAAGTAATTGTGGAAGGACACGTTGATGTTGCCAGTAGTTGCTCTTTATGATTGCGAAAAGTATCTTAAGGATGCTTAATGATTAAGTATGGTATAAATAAATCATCGCTCTTCATGATTGCGTAAAGTATCTTAAGATGCTTAATGATTAAATATGGCATAAAGAAATCATCTTAGTCCCCCTAATTTTGTGAGGCAGGACGTGAGAAAGGGATTCGTAACAAATATTAATGTTCGGTTTTGGAAAATGTTATCAGATTGTTGTATTAGTGTGCTTTTGTTTGTATTGTAAGGGAACAGGTTGAGCTTTGAAAAATGTTATCAGATTTAATAGCCCTTCGGCTGTTGCTGAAGCATTGTACTTGACTCTCTTCCCTTATACGAAACTCTCTAATAGGAAATTTGTTATTGCTCTCATGCTACCTCTGATGATTGTAGCTATGCAATAAGGTCGCTATGCTGCATTAATTAAGAGATTGACAATAGAAGTGGAACTAAATTTAAAAGACGTGTAACTAATTACCTACTAAATCTTTGAAAGACTGCATGATCTCATTGAAGAAACAAGCAAACTATTTGATGTTGCGTGCTAATAGTTGTCTCCCAGCATTTCACAAGTTGCACTGATTACATTGTTCATGTGTCCAAAATCATAGTAATCTTTGAACATGATTTCAATCTAAATCCATTAACATGTTATTAAAAAATGAATACACCACTGATTTGGAGAAACTTGCTGTTGCTAAGAGTAGCAGAATATATCAATTCAAAATGGTATGGAATGAAGTCTCAAGTAAGGCGGCATATACTAATTTCTTAATTATGTTAATTAATTACTTGAAATCTCGAACAGTTTTTGTTGCAATGTAATTTTGTAAGAGAGATGCAACCTAAATCCATGGTGGTACTTGGATCTAAAATTTTTGCTTCTTCTTCTTCTTCTTCTTCTTATTATTATTATTATTTTTTTTTTTTCGAGCTTCTTATTGTTCAGTGAGAATTTTCATGTTAATCCTACGGTGGATTTCATGTTTGGGTTTAGTGTGGATTATTTTGTGAACGAGGTTGGTAACGGTTTAGGCTGACTCTGATGAGAGGAAGCAAATTCAATGAGTTTTTAGGTTTTCTTTGTCTAGGAAAGAACAGAATGGAACTATTACGGAGACAAATTTTCTGATCTTTGCATATGCCACAATGATTTTGTTCTAGTCTCCTTTATGAGTTGGTATGACATGGTAAAATTCTCCCACCTGAATAAAGAAATTCTTGGTTTGACCACATCTCATTGTTGTTCTAATACGTTTTACCCCTTAAGATATTCTTTTTTTGATCTTCTCATGGCTTGCTGCATTGATGGTGAAATTTTTAACTTCCTCTTATTTTTCTGACTGTATCTTTATGATTTAATACTTCACTGTTTTCTATTTCTTCCTATTTGTATCTGAAATACAAAAATGTTTAAGTCTAACCGTGGTTAAAATTTTACCTTCAGGGATATGGCGTTGTACTTGTGAACACTGATGAGGCAGGAACATTGTTTGTTACGAACTTTCGTCTTCTTTTCCTGGTGAGTAAGTGCATCTAATATCTGGCAGTTTCCTTTTTCTTAATATTTATACGACACAGAATACGTTAATGTTTTTATCTGTTTGTTTCATTATTATAAATATTTAAATTTCAAGAGATCGAAGTTAAAAAAAAACTAGCTAGGTAATTTTTATATTATTAATTATCTCAAACCCTGAGCCTGTGACTTGTGCTTGGCAACTAATCTATTGGACTAAACGAAGTCTATTATCTTAGCAATTGAACTTGGTTCCACCTCAAGATAGTCTGAGTAACTTGTGCTTGCTATCTATCTATTGTGCACAAAATTATCATGGCATTTTTCCGTTCGGATGTTCTTTTCCTCTTAGATAATCAGATATGAATTCTTTGGTAAGCTGTAATCTTTTTTTCCCCTGATTGATTTATGTCACAATAATGTTCATGCTTATTCATAAATGCAAATTAATTGACATACTTTAATCCATATTTGCATGATTGTGTTGTCACAAGTAAAAATCACTTGGCTTGGAAGGTTATTTATCCATGCTCGGAGCGATTTTAAGTCTGATTCTACAATTTATAATATTGGTTCCATGTGTTGCAATGTTAAATAAAGTAAAGGGAAGCAACTATTTTAAGTAACAGTATTTTTTAGTTTGCTCAAATTTCTTTCCCTCTAAATATTTGTCGTCCTCTATTTACAGAAATATAAACATAGCTTTTATGTTTTAATCAAAGTTGTTGTTTAATGTTGTTTACCTTTCCTTTTCTAGAGTGATGGATCTAGGCACATCATAGGACTTGGCACTATTCCGTTGGCAACAATCGAAAAGTTCAACAAAGTTGTAAGTTTTTATGCTTGAATATCTCTTCTGTTTACTTAATGGACCTTCTTAATGTGAGACTTCCAAAAGTTGCAGAAGCTAGTGAATAATCTTGTTTCCTCTCAGTTGGGGGTGCAAAGAACTATTTATAGCTGGAAACTGAAATTGGGGGCAGTTTATTTTGGTATGGAAGGATGTGACTTGTGGGCAAAATTTTCACATATTCTTTTCTTGGAATGGGAGAAAAAAGAGAGAATAAACTGCAGATGTGAATTAAACACAATGCTGATTACCTCTTTATTTGTTTTCATTGTTTCACGGATTTAAGATAGCCATCTTACACCAGTATCTATGCTTCTTATAAATCAGTTTTATTTTTTTTAATCTCATCTTTATACCTGTTAATGCATATGTTGCCTTTGAACTCAAAAGTTTTCTTGTTTATCACTGGTTTGAGATTTTTCATCAAAAAATCTTGATGAAATTATTTACTTTTTCCATTGATATAAAATAATAAGTTACTAAAATTTTTCATCGTATTTAGCTTCCCTCCCTCTCTCTGTCGGTGTCTGTCTTGAACCCTGCAAGCCAATTGAGGTCTGTTGTTCTTGAACCCTAGCAGGTCTGAGAATTTAGATTTCTTTCTGCATTAATGTTCTAGCCCCAATTAAGTGGTGTATTTTAAACCAAAAGTACTAGTCATATTTTGGAATCTCCTCCAGCCCATCATGCAATTCCTATGGTTTATATTCTTAGACCCTGTTTGGTGGGGAATAAAATAAGATTTTTAATAGATTTTGATAAAAGTTGATGAAATGTGTGGTTGAAAAGTTGTGGGTCCATAAAATTTGTGGTTGAAATTAATTGTAAACTTTGACTTAGATTAAAATCTTGATTTTAATCAATATCAAACAGGGGCTTTATGCAACTAGGCACAATCATAAATGGCCAGCGTAAATGCATGCTATTTGTGTGGTTTTTTTAAAATTAATGATGATTTTTTGAAGCAGGTCGAAACATTAGGGATAAGCAAGTTCCTGATTTTATTTTATTTATTCATTTGGACGATCATCCTAATCGGGGTTGTAGTTACTCTAAAAAAATTAGGTGAGTGTATATTAATATACATAATGCTACCAAAGAAGCATTGAAAACATTGTTTCATGATCTTGTGGTTTATACCACAGAATTGGCTCAACTGAATGCTTAAGATAAAGATTAATATGTATTGCTCTGGTTGTATAAATGTATATGATAAGGAAATATATGTTACTATAGATTTGTTTGGATCAAGTTCCTGTTGAGGTAGTGATGGTGTGTTAGGTGGCTTGTGCAGTCTCCAGAGATCTAGTTCACGTCCTTCAGAGATATTTCACTGGTATTTGGACTAGAGGGATGGGGATTTTACATAACATTGCATCCTTGTTGGTTATATGTAGCCTTTTATACTGGTAAAGTTGTCTCTACACCTAAGACCTTAAGGTTGAATGCATTGTTGGGGAAAAATATTTTTATCCTATAGCTGATTAAGCCCAACTGCTGTTGACAAAGAGTTAAATCCATCTCAGATAGATTGCAGTTTTGCCTCAAAGTTTGTGCAAGTTACATAGGATCCACAAAAAGGGATGAGACGAACTCCCTTTTACTCCTTCACTATTTGCACATCCATCGGAATTATATTTCTCCCAAGCCCCACTTGGCCTTCACCACTTTACAACAAGGGACCACTTAATGTTCTGTTTTTGAAGCCTTATTCCCACATTCCAAGCTATTTCATGATCCTTATCCAAATAATAGAAAAGAAGGATGCCAAATTATCTAGGAAAAGGCAATCTGGTTACTTCACTTCACTTTCGTCATTATACCGTTCATGGCCTGGTCTGTATTGCTTTCCTTACATTGCTGTCTTTTAATCAAATTGCATGACCTGCAATATTATATCTTCTGCTGACAAGAAGTTAACATTTCTGAATTCTGGATCTAGGTTATGAAGCTTCCTTCAGGTCCTAGGCAGATTGATAAGACTCCATCACAGCGATTGCTTCAGGTCATTGGTATGCTTGGTTTAATATCCCTCTGGAAAAATTACTTAATTTACTAATTGTTTGAGATGTTTAATACCCATTTATTGTGAATAACTGAATGTACTTTGGGAAGGAAATAATTGTAATAATTATCGGGGGTTGAGGGCGAGGGGAGGAGGCCTTTTGGTAATTGATCTTTGTATTGGGAGGTGTTCTGACAGTGATGGATCCTGGAGGCATGCAATGGTTAAAACTGTCTGGCGATGCTTATGGTTTTCTTATATTCCTGGCACTGAGAACAATAAGTTTATTTCAATTTCGTTTATTTGATGTAACTTTTCCAAATTAACCATAGGTATAATGAAGTACAGATGGTTAATATCCATAACTTCCATGCACGATGGCAATAATTATTGAAATACTAGTATACTAAAATTGTCCTTACTGAATGCATATTTGGATATATAAGGAATTGGTTGTATTTATGTGGTTATGAATATAGCTTCAACATCTAAATCAGTAAATAGATGTAAAATAATACTTCAAGTAGCTTCAGATAGTGATCGCATATTATATTTACAATATATTAACTACTATTGTGTTTATGGGATACCACTGTGCCGTAAATAAATTTACTGGTTGGTGTTATGATCTGCAGGCAAAGATATGAGAATTATTGTCTTTGGCTTTCGGTCTCGAACAAAGCAGGTCAGTTATGCATATTAATATTCATTTGTTATTTTTTTTTGGACCTTGCTCCATATGGTCATGTATTCCATATGCATCTGTATTCTTCTTTTTCTTGTCCTAGTTAAGTCTGGTAAGAATAATATCCTTCAAATCCTATTTGTCAGAACATCCACCCGTCTAGTCTCTCCTATCATGAATTTTCATTTGAATTCAGAAAGCTAAGAATGCGAGCTATTTCAGTATACACTAGAATTATTACAATTTGCTATTTTGATGGATCAAAATCAACTTATGTTCATATTCTTTATTTTTATCTTCTATTTGGTCCATTCCTGTGCAGAATGAATTTCTGCAAGTTTTGTATGCATCACAACTGTTGAGTCACCTCGCCTAAATGTTCATGTTGTTAGAAAGAGATGAAGATGAATTTATTCATTTATACTTATATCTCAACACGCCCTGCACGTGTAGTCTGACCATTGAGCCTGTAATTGTACGGGCAACCATAATTGTGAAATTTGAACACAAGACCTTTGTGCATTTTGATATCATGGTGAATCACCTCATGTAAAAGTGTAAGCTGATAGGGAGGTGATTAATATGTTTATACTTGTATGTTCAACATATGGTATATATCTTGGAATTTTTTAGGTTAAAATTTAGAATAATGCTCACCTTGTTTTGTTGATTAACTGAAACGTATGTAGTTTATATGCAATTGCATGGTAGAACTTTTAGATTAGGAGATATGTTGAGGGTATGACATTGTCGAGTTCTGAGCAACTAAATGTCACTTACCCTTGATTGAAGAATCTTTCCAGACATAAAATTAAAATCCACTGATATATAAAATATCATGTGGCAAATTGAACAGTGTTAGTTGATCAAAAACATATTGAATTCCTTTAAAATTTTTCTTGCTGATGCTTAAATAAATGTAGCAGCCATCTGTTTTACAAGGTAAACTTTTATGTAGCAAAATTGTATTGCAGAGGCGTGCTGTATACGATGCATTGTTGAGGTGCACGAGACCAGCTAGACTCTGGGATCTCTATGCTTTTGCATGTGGACCTTCCAGATTTGGTAACACAAACCCTAAGGAGCGGCTATTGAATGAATACTTCCGACTTCTTGGACTAAAGTCACCTCAGGCTTCAGCCAGAACAATTGAAGATGGTTCATCCGTAGTCTCTAATGAATGTTGGAGGATAAGTAATGTGAATTCTAATTATACAATGTGCCCAACCTATCCTTTTGCATTGCTTGTTCCAAAATCCATCAGGTAATGAAATATTGCTGGCTTTTTTTTTTCCCCTTGAAGTCATTTCAGGAAATAATTCTAATTTTATGTGCATCTTGATTTCACGTGGACACTGGTGTCAGTGATATAGAAATACAGCAGGCTTGTACCTTCCGTGCACGATGCCGTTTGCCTGTAATTACATGGTGTGATCCAGGTATAAAAAAATTCAGATAGTAATAATATATTGAGTCTGTTACTAGTAATTATGAAATAATTTATAAAAAAAAAATTAATGTTAAGATTTCGCAAGTCAGTTGATGATATCAAATGAATTTGTTCATCTGAATCCCATTTTCATATCTCTGTCTGATTAATGAGCTATAGGGACAAGAGCTGTTCTAGCACGGTCATCTCAACCATTGGTTGGCCTCATGATGAATATGAGAAGGTGAGATTTGATTTACAGGACCCCTGTTGCCGTTGCAGCTTTCAATTCTCTGCTGCATTGTTATGGTAACTAGAAAGTTGGAATTATGACCGCGATCGTTAAAAAATTTTGGTTGACAAAAGTTTTGAAGGAATCCAGTAATTTTACATTTTTCTTTGACAAAATATTCTGAGTGCATGTTCTTTATCCGCAGCAATGCTGATGAGAAGCTAGTTGCTGCACTCTTAACTCAACTTATTGGAACGAAGGAGCAAAAGAGGTATTTTTTTGGCATTTTATTTTGAGGTTTAGTATTTGTTTATGCTTAAATATTCTGTTTCTCTCTTTAGCTAGCAATAATCATTCAGTGAACAAAATCTATTTCAGTACCAGAGACATGTTAAATAAACACATGTCCATTATCTGTTTTCAAGAGATTTCACATTATTGAATGATTTTATGCATTTAGGAAGTTGTATATCGCTGATGCAAGACCTAGGAAAAATGCTTTAGCAAATGGAGCGATGGGAGGTGGTTCAGAGTCGTCTGCCAATTATTTTCAATCTGAGGTCTGTTCAAGGTTTCTGCAATCAAATTGTGCATTCCAATATCACATCACTTCTGATTTGTACATTCATATTCTTTCATTTGAACTCTCTTTCAGATAGTCTTCTTTGGAATAGATAACATACATGCCATGAGAGATAGCCTTTCTCGGCTTAGAGACTATGTGGATACTCATGGGGCCACTTCATCAGATGGAATGTCGTCATTTTTGGTATGTTTCTGAGTTGTTTTCAAAGACCTTGTACTTTTTCCATTAAAGAGCAACCTCAGCTTGGGTTAACAAACAGTGAAATTTTTTGTTTGGTGTGTATGTGGCCGGGTCTGTACTTCAAGCTCTGGCCACTAAAAATTTCCAATTGGTCATGGTTGGCTAGTAACTCTGATCAATTGTAAACTTACTTTTTCGTATTCTAGTAAGAAACTATGGTTTGTACAACGTATGGCTCAGCCCACTCGAATGTGCACATGGCTCGCCTCTGCAGAAACTGAGGCTAAATGCTTCAAGCCATGTGCACGCATGGCTGATGCCCATGCGTGTGCTTGGTCCTGGAAACAAGCCGTTAAGACTGGCTTCCAGATTTGTTTTCTGCTGGTGCCTTTTAGTGGAAAATTTTCAACTTTTCAGCCTTTTCATGGTGTATTGATGAAAAACTATAAATAAGTGATAGTTTTTAATTTCTAAAACAACATATTAGAATTCATTTCAATTCTTAGTAATTTTTTTCCCAATTCTCATATACATTTTCAAACCTTTTTTGTGTTCTTCATGTTTTGGAAGATGAAATACTAGTGCTTTTCTTCTTCAAGGCTTGTTCAATCCTACGAACCATTTGCCATGAGTCCTTTTAAGCACCAAAATCAATCCTATAGGGAGCAAATATGGTTTGTGGACAGAGATAATGCATTCCAGTCCTATTTCCATATTTTCAGTGTTCTTGCTACTACATCTTTAGTTCCCTTCTCCATTCTTTCTGAATTATGTCCAACAGGCAATATATACTGGTATGAAAGCACTATGATACTGAAGTTCATCTTTTTACCTTGCCAATTAACTATAATGCCAAGGACTGCACATCTGGTTGTATAGCTGATCTTTTCTCTTCATGAGCATTGTCATTTTAAGTACCACCACTAAAATATGAGCACATCACCATAACGAGTAATCTAGTACCCTTCCAACTAAGAAAATGCATCATCTAAAATCTTTGCTCAAAAATCAATTAGTCTTGAAATTATCTTAAGCCCGAGTCATCGAGTAACTGTCATTAATTGGTTTAGGCTTTATGATTAATTAAAGCCACGTTCAATGTGAATTACTTGATCTGATAATTATTATCCGAAAATTTGATTTTGAGAGTTGGTTAATAGAATTATTTTAAACACTGTGACCAGTAACTTGATAAATAATAATTTTTGTTACATGAACCAAATATCTTACTTGAACTAAAAAATGATTCAAGTAGTTTTCGATTAATCAACTAATTTTAACCTAAGAATGCCTAGATTTATTGATTGATTTGATCATCAGTTGCGTGAATAGTGTTTACTTTCATGAATTTCTGAAACCACACACACACACACACACACACACA